GTGAATAAGACATCTATTGTCGTCTCACAGATCGATTACTTTATCTCTCCCGACCCTTGTAATTGTAATTGTTAAACTAGTATGTATATATTAAAATTTTATGTGACTATGCTAATATTGAATTATAAAGTATATATTGGAAATGATAATTTAACAAAATAATAAAATAAGGGAGGTTTGATAACTGTTTTATTTTCAATTTTCTATTTTCGAAAATTAAGCTTATAAACACTACTTTCACTTTAATGTAGTTTTTAAAAATATTTTCAAATTTAAGCCAAAATTTATAAAAACAGAACCATTATCCAATAGGATCTAAAGTAATCTACTCCAATACAATTTTTTTTTACCAAGATCACTAACCTTTTATTATTCTCTTAATTTTCTTTTTGTTGAAAGAATAATTAAAGGATAATTATCAATCCAAAGAATATATATATATATATATATATATATATATCATTTTAGTTATCATCCATATATTGAGCACATGGAAAAACAGAGTGTTGTCATTTCATTGACAAAAGCTGTGAATAAGATTGCATTATTTTGATAGATTTTTATAATATACTTTTTTTCCTAAAAGAATATATATATTCCATTTTCTTGAAGAAAAATAACAATATGTGTGTTTAGTTTGTGGGATGCGAAAGAAATTAGGGCCCCTTAAGAACTCATTGTCTTTTTTCTTTTGTGCTGACTTATTGCCTTTTGCACATGAAATTTAATTATAATTAGGAATTTAACTTTAAGAAAACAAGTGCTGCTTTGGGAGATTCCTTTATTGGGAGCGTGCAACGTGGTTCTTTCGATGGTCGATTGTGTTTGCTCTCTTTATGCAAAGAAATGCACAAGGTCAAATCTTAGTCAAGGTCGAACTTGGTCCAAGCTCCGACTTTAAGGACGAAGGAAAGACCTGCACAAGAGAGCAAAATGAAATTCGAGGAGAAATTCGATATATGAGGTTGGAGTGAGGCCCTCTATTTATAGGTGTAGGCTCTGATGGGTCTTGCTACATGGTTACCTTGGTCGGATTTAAGATCGAACCTATCGGGTCTCTCAGGTCGAATCCAGATAGGTTATTCATGATGTTGCTAACTCAATGAAAGAAATAGCGATGGTCTTCCACCTCGATAGGGTCGAGGTGGAGGAGGTGGAGTTGCTTGGAGATCAATATATTATTATATGTTCGGCGAATCACAGTCTTCCACGCGACACTCCAATTTCCTTCCCCAAACATGCTCAATACTTATAACATTGAATTTATATGTTTGGCTTGAAGGTGGTCCTAAGGAAATTTCTAGAATCAATGTTCTTTCCTTACCTTCTCAAAAAAAAAAAAAAAATTTTAATTAAAAGATATAGATTAACTAAAAAATAATAATAATAAAAGATATACATTATAATAGTAATTTTAAAAACGTAGAGATTAAATTGAAATCAAAATTAAAAAAATACACAAACTAAAATTATAATTTAATCTAAATTTAATTGATTAATATCCAATTTTTTGAAACTACATTTTTTAGTTAATTATCAGCTTTTTAAAAAGTTCTAGCTATTCTATATAGTAAAAGCTTCATTAGTAAGTTATTTCACAAAAAAGAAAAAATAAAACGCAGGATTTATTTATGAATAATCTCATTTTTCAAATTTTCATCATTTCATTAATTATTGGGAATAGTTTTTAAAAAGTATTGATCTTTGCAAAAAAAAAAAAAAAACTTTATCTTTCTGGATCATATCTCATTAATTTTTGAGGTCAAAAGGATTGTGAAGAATATATTTAATAACTTTTTTCTTACCCCTTTTCAATAATATTTTCTGAATATAAAGTTTAAAGTAATTCACTAAATAATATTACATTCACTGGATAATTTCTATTATAAACTCACATTTGCAAAATTAGAAGTAATTTTCATCCTTTTTCAAAAAATAATATATCAATATCTATTATTTTGATATTTTGATGCTTCAAATTGTTTTGCCTTTCATATTGAAAAATCACAAACTACCTTATAATCTATGTCAATTTATTATTTTATAAACTATTCTTTTTATTTCTAATTTCTTTATTATTTTCATTCGCTATACCCTTTGACATTTTAACCAAAATTTCAGGAAAAAATAAAAATTTAAAGGTTGATTGTCAATATTGCAAAACAAAAAGACATGGGGAAATAAATAAATGATTTATTAAACGGAGCAAGAGAAAGCTCTAGAAAAAGAAAATTAATTTTTTACTACTCATGATTTCTTACCGCAAGCTAATTAAGGTCATATTGACAAATATTATATTTTTTAAGAACCTACCAAAACAATAAATTTTAACAAATATATTTGAATTCTTTGTCAAATTAAAAAAATTAAAAAACAAATTAAAAATTTTTAATTTTCAAAATTTAACTTATATTTTGAAAACTTATTTAAACCACAAAACAAAGAAATGCCGCCGAAGGAAGTAGTTTTTATTAGTTTACTTAAAAAATTAAAAAAGTAAATAGTTATAAAAAATAGCTTTAATAATCCGTTTCAAATTCTAAAAATATTTTTAATAACAATTTACAATTTTCTATCTGCTTTTTTTTTTCTTTTTTGACTCGTTAAAAGAAAATTTATCTAACATACCTCTTTTTACTTCAATTTATCTGATGTACTTCCACGTATTCAATAGCAATTTAATTTGTAATTTTCTGCTTCTAAAAACTGAATCTTACCTTTTTAAAAATATATTTAAATTCTTAGTCAAATTTTAAAAAAATATTATAACTTATTTTTTCTCTTTAATTTTTCGATCTAAATTTTGAAAACATTTTTAAAAGGTAGATTACACAACAAAGATACACCTAGATATAAGTAGTGTTTATAAATTAATTTTAGAACAAGAAAAAAATGGTTATAAAAAATTGTCCTCCGTTATTGATGTTAAGGATATGGGTCATAAATTAAATTGAAGCATAATCTAAATTTTATAAATATAATCGAAATGTTTTAATATTTAAGTTATAATACATATAATTTAAGTTGATTTATTTAAGATAGGTGTAGAACGAACGTTCAACCACCTAGCGAGTCGTTTTTTTATTAGTTTTTAAGCAGAATGTTCATTATGATGAGTTGTAGTCGATTAGGAGGATGATATGAGGATTTTGTCAATAATGAGGACGACCAACACATGACATCTAAGAGCCACCGAAAGAGCTTACCAGATGCACCATCGACCTCAGACAGCTCGATCGAGTGGGAGAAAAATTAAAAAAGAACGTAGTGGGTGAGCAAAAAACAAATACCAATGAAGACCAGACCTCGAATTTCAAACAAAAAAACGTAGTAGCCTAGTCGGGGAGGGAGATTCTCCATGAAGATTCATAATTCACATTAATTTCTGCGGTCCGCTGTCCTCCAAAAGAGATTCAACCTTTGAAAGAGTAAAATTTGAACTGAAAAAGAATTTATTTTAAAATAACTTTTATTTCTAAAATTAAAGTCTCATTTTTATGATTAATTTATTCAACATAACTTATTTTATAACAATAAATAATAAATTTTGGTTTTTTTTTTTCTGAAAAGTTAAAATAAAACTCGGTTTAAAAGAAACATATTAGAGAAGGACACAATATTGTCGATAAGATTGTAGACCAATTTATTGACAAACTTAGACTCGCATGAAAAAATGAATTTTGTTGTTTTGTTTTTTTTTCTTGCATTTTTTAAAACTCTTAAAAAAACAAAAGCGGATATAAACAATAATGGTTAACACACATACTTAATTTAGTTCTCTTTATTTTAGATTTACTAATCAATTAAACCATTGTTTTATATTTACCATAAACAACAAATATTTAATAATTATTGAGAATTGTCAGTATAAGCCTAGTTCAGTTGTGAAAGCCTCGTCTACTCTTTAATGTCAAAAGTAATTTAAATTCTCACACCCTAATATTTAATTTGTAGTATTTAAAAAAGAAGACCTAATTAAAAATTTTGAATACATAAAAGATCAAATAAAAATTTTTAAAAGATTAATTACCCAATTGAGATTTAGTAAAAGAAGATTAGAGACCATTTTATCTAATTGCCAAAAGTAAATCACAAAATAAACAAATTGTTAACTAATAAACTTAAAAAGCACTTGTTTATCATTCTCGATGGTTATCTCACCCCCACAATTGTTAAAACACTTTAGGGATAAAATACACTTTTGGTCTCAGAAATTTAAACTTTGAATTTTTATTTGGTTCATAAGTTTTAAAAACTATCATACTTTTTGAATTTTTATTTGGTTCATAAGTTTTAAAAACTATCATACTTTTTGTCACTGAAATTTAATTTTAGTTTCAATTTGGTCCTTGAAGTTTCAAATGTAAAACATTTTGTCCCAAAAATTAGAATTTACTTTTATGAATAGGTTTCTGAAGTTTGAATTTAGTTTTTAATTCGTCCTTCAAATTTAAAGCTCAACTCAGAGACCAATTAAAAACTAAATTCAAACCCAGAAGGTACATGTCATTATCGAAACTTAAAAAATCAAATAGAAACTAAATTTAAATCTCAAATGACCAAAAGTAACTGTCTTTTTAACTTAAAGTACCGACACAGAAACCAATCCAATCCCAGAGACCAAACAGTGTATTAAATTCGACCCATTCCTTTACTAAAATCGAACAACTAACAACAAAATCAACACCAAAACTACTCAAAACCCCATAAAAACACACATCCAAGAAATCCCACAAACATCTTAGATACAAATTCCTCCAAAACAAGTCTACTCCCAAATACAAAAAATTAACACAAAATTCTCTTTCTTCCCTTGTTCAAACAAATCAAGGGCAGACTGTCCTTAAGAAAATAACCCTATACCCTCCACCCTCAACCCCAATTCCCAATTATCCCCTATTCCCTACCCTACACACAAAAGAGAGAGAAAAAGAATTAGGTTACCAAAATTAAAAGGGAAAAAAAGAATAAGCAAATTAGAAGGAAGAAATTAAAGGGCATTGGGGTTTCCATTTTGTTGCAAAGCAAGATCCCCTCTCCTTCCAAATGCTCCATCATCTTAACTACCACTTCTTCTTCCCAAAACCAAAGACAAACACAAACCCGTTTCAATTTTGAATGACCCATTATTCGTATTTGTATCCCGGTTTCTTTATCCATCGACGACGACAATTCTCCGATCTGCACAAGCAAAAACAATGGGGAGAGGGCGAGTTGAGCTGAAGAGAATAGAGAACAAAATAAACCGCCAAGTGACGTTTTCGAAGCGCCGAAACGGGCTGCTCAAAAAGGCCTATGAACTCTCAGTTCTCTGCGACGCTGAGGTCGCTCTCATCATCTTCTCCAGCCGTGGGAAGCTCTATGAATTTGGCAGCGCTGGGTCTGTTTCTTCCTCGTTTTCCCTTTCCCTTTTCCTCAGATCTGAATAATAATAATCTCTTCTTATCTTCTTCTTCCTTTTTTTCTCTCTCTGACACTGCCACAGGTTCTAATTTCTCTATCGCTTTAATTTCATGGGTTTTTTTTTTTCACTTTTTGTTGTTGTTGTGGGTTTTCTGATGGATCTCAGCTGGGGAAAAAGCTTTTTGTTCTGTCCAAAAACACTGCCGAGGTTGTTAATTCCTACTGAGAGAGAGAGAGAGAGACTGTCTCTCTCCTCTCTCTCTCTCTCTCTCATCACTGAGACCTTTGTGTATAAAATGGAAACTAGGGTTTTTGATCTTCCTCCAAAACCTGCAACCCCATTTGTCTGTTTTTCTTTTCATCCTTAAATCCCTTGGTAATGGGGTTACCCTCTCTCTCTCTAACCAACCTCTATTAATGGCGGGTTTCCGCGTTCTATTTCAATTAACCGTTCGATGTAGGTTCGAAATGTGTCGGTCCTAATGGGATTCGAAAATAATGTAGTGAGAGATGTAGGATGGCGATAATCTTAGTTCACCACGGTCGTTTTGTGCGTTCTATATGGATTAACCGTTGGATGCAGGTTTGAAATCTGTTTGTTTGGGTTGATTTTTAATTTTCTTTTTACCACCCACCGGTGGGCTTGTGATCAAATGGAGATACCTCACTCCCCGTTTCGAGTCCTGCGGGGCGGTTTTCCCCTCTATTTGGGGACGAGTCTTGCAATGTCGGTTACAGAGTTGTTTGGCCGTCGACACCTCTCGATCATAAATTATCAATTACATTGTATATATAACAGTGATATTTTTTTTTTTTGTAGTACGACCAAAACATTGGAGCGATATCAACGTTGTTGCTTCTCTCCACAGGACAACCATATTGAGCGACAAACCCAGGTTTCGCTTCATTTGATAACAATTTTATTTTGATTTTTTAAAATCTAACTTAAGTTCTTACAGATAAATTAAGTTTGAGAGATCTCTTATGTATTATTTTTTCTTGTATTATTATAATTACATTCTAATTAAAGCAAGCGATATTTTTTTCCTTCGGTTTTGTTTTTAAGAACCATATATGCTTTATGATAAATTGTTTGGTTTTTTTACCTCTTGAAAATAGTTCATTAATGGAAAAAAAATGGTTTTTGGAGAATAAAGAAAAATAGTAGTTAATAAATGAAATTTTTAAAAATATAAAATCATAAATAATAACGATAAGTAGATTTAGTTTTCAATTTTTGAAAATTAGCAAGCTTGTATAATTACTCTCAAGTTCTTTGTTTTGCTTTTCACATTTTATAAACACAAATATATTTTGGTTAAAAAAAAAAGAAAAAAAAGAGAGAAACATAATATATTTTAATGATTAGTTTTTTTATTTTTTCCCTAAATTCTAAGATTTGCTTTAGAAAAGTTAATTGCCAAATATAGAAATTTTCAGTAAACAAGCTTTCAATAAGAAGTGAAAAAACATAACTGTTGTTAAAACAACAAATTTTTAAGAAGTTGAAGGCCATTATTTTAGAATTTGTTTTTTTATTAAAAAAACATTTTCTTTTAAAATTTCAGTTAAATTTTAAAATTTTAACTAGTATTTCTTTTGTTTTTGAAATTTAACTTAGACCAAAAAAATTTTTTTTTTTTTTTAAATTAGAAAACAAAACAGCAAAGTTATTACCAAATCAAACACATTTTTTTCAAACAAACAGACAAATAACATTATCAAATCAAGCCATATGACTTGAATCAAAATCTTTGAGGAAAAACTTCTCATAATTGATATAAGAATTTAAGCTTTAACGATATTAACATTCAATTAATTGGTTAAAAATACTATTTTGGTCTCGTATAGCTTTGGTTCATTTTGATCTCTATACTTCATTTTGGTCTTGTATTTCTAATTTCTGTTCATTTTAGTTCCTATACTTTCAAAATGTTTATTTTGGTCAATCTACTTTTAAAAGATGACCATTTTGGTTACTTAATTTAGTTTTTAATCTAATTTTTTCGTATCATAATTTTAACATGACACTACACTCAATATCTTGAAAGGTAACCAAAACTAATATAGAGAGTTTGTGTTATGTATAGAATTTTATTTACCTTTTAACCTTTTTTTTCCCTAAGCAAGTCATTATTTCTTCTCTATATATTTTTTAACCAATCGAACTATATACTCACGTTGACGGTAGAGAGATTTATCTAGTGTAACTTATTCGGCAATGACAACAAGCCAACGAAGTCATTGAAAAACTCTCGTCCATAGTTCAAATCTCTCTCCCCGTCTTCTAATATTTTTGTCTAACCATGTTTTAATCACAACGATATGCAGAGTTGGTTCCAAGAGATCTCGAAACTGAAAGTTAAATATGAATCTCTATGTCGAACCCAACGGCATTTGCTTGGGGAAGATCTTGGACCATTGAGTGTAAAGGAGCTCCAAAACCTTGAAAAGCAACTTGAAGCAGCCCTTGCCCAAGCTAGACAAAGGAAGGTATTATTATTGTTTCAATTTAGTCCCTCGATTTTCGAATATAATTTTGTATAGAAAACTACTGTTGTTGTTATTATTTTTCCACCGTCATTTTAAGAAAACTTGATCTTATTTTGAAACTCGAAACACGACCTAATTCTCAAGTTTTAATTGGTTAGTAAAAAGTTAGCAATAATCAAAATAGTTTTTTAGGTGAATTCGACAACTAGAAAGAAAATTTTGGAAGTTTTAAGGATTAAAATAAGATTTTTTTTTAATTTCAGGAAAATTGTTGATTTTAAATTTTAATTTTGTTATCCATGGCAGACTCAGATGATGATTGAACAGATGGAAGCTCTGCGCAGAAAGGTAAACTAATTTAATATTAATTTATTTCTTTTTTGGGATTTTGTGCAACAAGACATCTAACGTTGGACAAATCAAATTAAAGCTTTTATTTATTTTTATTATTATTTTTTAATATTCCGTATGAAATTAAAGTTTCTTTTTTTTTTTAGTACAAATGAAATTAAACTTGGTTTACTGTTTCTTTGTGCTCTCATTATTACATGAATATTTGTAACATTGTTCCTCTCTCTAGGAAGCTAGTTTAGTTTGTTTTTATTATAATGATTGACATTTTTATGACATTTCTCAAAAAAAAAAAAAAAATTTTATGACCTTCATGATTTATTAGAGGTGATTATTCTTTACGGTTAAATATTAACTGTGCCACTCAGTTTTAAGAGGTGAATTTGAACTTTCCGACATCAAGAAAAAAAGTAGATGTTATTTAGTTTAGGCGACGAATATAAGTCATGTTCTAAGTATATGATTTAGAGTATTCGGTTTAATTCATCATTATTTTTAAATTTTAAACATCTTTAATATTTATAGAAAGCATATATGTTGAAAATAACATTGCACATATGCTACACGATTAAACACATTTATCTGATCAACACATGCACATATATATGAATTTATTAGTCTCTAAAGTAGGTCTCTTAACTTTAGACCGTTTCTAATGTAATCTTAAAATTTCAATATCGTTTTGGATAAGTTATGAATTTTTAAAAATATCTAATTAAGTCTCTGAAATTTTAAGAATCTATATATTAAACACAAAATTGAAAATTTAAGACATCTAATAGACACGTTTGAAAATTTGAGACTTATCAAACGACTAGTTACAACTCTAAAAGTTTACGTGCTGACTTGTAAGTTAACATGTTCGGGAATGTGGTAATGGCAGGAGCGGCAACTTGGGGACCTCAACAAAGAGCTAAGGCTCAAGGTTTTTAACTTAAAAATCTCTTTATCCATAATCAATCTTTTTCCTTTCTAGAAAAAGAAATATATAATATATAAATAAATGAAGATATATTGATATATAACATGTTTGAGTGATATTGGTAGCTTGAGGCAGAGGGACAGAATCTTAAAGCCATCCAAAGTTTCTGGAGCTCTAGCTCTGCAGCTGCTGGACATGGCAACGACTTCCCATTGCATCATTCTCAAGCCAGCCCTATCGAGTGCCAACACGAACAACCCGTCTTACAAATCGGGTATCTCGCTAAACACCTCTTCTCTCATTTATTCGCTTGTTGGAGTCAGGTGTTGAGAATATATTAAATGATAAGATCGAGTAAGTTCGTAATCGAAACTTGTTGATTCTTTCCGGTGTTAGTAGTGTATTGTTGTTGCTGTATGATCTAAGAAAAATTTATCACATTAGGATTCGTATAATGTTATTTCTTTTTATGTTAAATTTATATTTTAGTTCCGTATGTTTTAATAATTTTGGGTGAGCGTTGAATTGGCTGATAAATAAGTTTAAGAACTATAATATATATCTTCTAACAACTTCCCGTTAGTTTGGAGTGAACTTCTTAAATCTGTATAATTTGAAGTAAGAAATTCTCCAATTACTTTGTACGAAAACACGACCTTGTTTCGTGAGATAGGCATTGTTTAAACTTCTATTTATGTAGCTAGTAGAATTAATTAGAAAATTTTCGATATAATCTAAGAAGATAATTTTTCATACATACATTGTCGCATCATATTTATTATTGTTGTTGTTAATGATAATG